TTTTCCAGGCTGTACTCCTTACAATCACCTTTCTAGTAATACTTTTTGAAAACTTTGGTGAGAATCTTTGAAAAACAATTCATCAACTTTTATTCTGCTATTCATAAATTCAGCTATACGCGCTTTCATGGTTTTGCTCTTCTTGACGGCGTTTTTTTTGAATCTTCTAACGATTGCATTCTACATATTATTTGACACACAGGCCATTAGTTGCATGGACGCGACTGGAGTGCTCGGGTACGCTTGAAGAAAGTCAGTCGAGAATTGTGAAATGCATTCAGTACCCTACTTTCAGATCAGTTATCTGCCTGACATTACGTCTCCCAACATCGCACCATACCATCTACTGCGCTTTGCTTCTCACTTTACTTCATTTTCTAGCTTTCATAGCTGCTATGGTAAATATAGAAATCAGCTCTGTATGGACAAAGTTTTCGAGTATTCTCTAAGTCTTTAGTGTATGAATTATTACTACGGTGGAACAATTGCGCACCTTATTGAAGTCTCGAAAGCATTAGGATATCAACCGGTAAAATTACCACAGTAATATAGTAGATACTCTACTTATCTTATCTTAGTGCTATACATATAAAATAGGAAGGAGGAGAAAATCGCGTCGAAGACGGCGAAGGTACGCTTTCACTCATGGTTGCTTTTCTCCTCATTATGGTACAACACACTTAGCTACCGATGAACTATCGCAATATGCCTTAATAAAATTGGTAGTTTCGAATTGCACCACAAGGGCAATTACGGAGTTTGTGGGCAGCACACGTAGTCAAAAAGAACTTGTTAGTTCAAAATAAAACCTTCCGAAACTCTGATCTCGTTGCCCCAATAAGATGACCCTCGGATACGGAGAACCTGGGATGATGTAGCTATCTTCAACTTGACAATGCTACCTAATCTTTACCGCACAGAAATTCCAAACAGTCTCGAAACTAGAGAGTGTAAAGAAGTCAACTTGGGAATTGGAATCATATCTATGTCATTTTGTTGCTGACTATTTACCGAAGAGTTGAATCTACGAATATCCTACCTTTAAGACAACTTTAAGCTGATAATACATCACATTCCAATATTGGTGCATCCTATTCCTCTCTCCATTGCAATCCTCCCGGCATGCTGTTAGCTTCTACTCATACTAAAGTCAATCAAGGTTTCTCACACAGATATCACTTTCAATTTTCTATGCGCTTTATACTTGCAGTCTAGTATATCAGAGGTAGATAAGTGAGTTCTAATTCAATGGCAGATATTTTAATTCTTCAAATAAATATAGCGTGAGCACAAAGGAGAAGTAAAACGCTGAGATGAAATAAAAAATGATCTGCATTGACTGCCAGTTCTGCTGATTAATGTTCGGGAATATTTACTCAATTTCTACTTTCAGACATCGCAAACGCCGACAGCGCTTCGGAACTGAAGTGGTTCGTATGCTCTCAGTTTTTCGAGTAGGTTGTGAAAAAAAAGGAGGTTTGCTCCTATTTTTTTCGCAAAAGCATTGCTGCTTAGCATAGACCGTAAGGCATACTGTTGAATGTTGATGATAGAATTCCTCAATTTTATTTAAATATCTTCTATGCGTACACTTCCAGCTCTTAAAAGCGCCGGTTGTATTGCAGGTTGTATGTATTTTTTTGTTGAAAGAATTTGTAATTGCACATCGGCCAGAACATGGAGTTTCTCCATGATGCATATTTTGTAAAATATGGGAAAGATACTTTCGATCTGCACATCTATGTTACGATGCTATTTCTCTCAAATACTAACTGTGATCATAAAATTCCTAACTACGGAATTGTTGCAAAGTTTGCTTATTTTATCTGCTCAAATCCAAGATTCTCACCGTAACTCCATCTTTTTCGAACTTAAACTTTTATTTTTATTTTCAAGCAAGAAGGAAAAATGAAGTAGGAGTAGATAAATTTAGTGAATTTATCCATTCAAATTCATCTTTACCTCCTTGCTTAAGAAATTTCCATCGCAAAGCTGCAAAAGAGCTTATCGCGTTCAATATCAATACAGTAATTGGAATGTTGCAATTAAAGCTGTAGTGCCGAAATGAAAGAAAAAAGTAGATTTGATTTCTACTTGATGAAATTCAATTGAATTAAATTTTGGCAGAAGTTTTTTATATGGCACCGTACAATACAGCAAAGGAATAGCTGCTATATTTTAAGACACTGGATGCTGCTTTTGTAATCTTTGGAAACTGATTGTTATGAAAAATTTCAGGATGTCTCCAAGCTTCCTGTTGGTACAATAATCACCACGGTACGATGCGTTAGAAGCGTTGCTATACAATATTGTAATTGGTACTCTAGGAAAGAAGCACTTCTTATAAGTGGAAGGGTAATGTGCAACCTGGCGGGATAGTGATTGGTTCGGGAATGGAATCCATGACCGACTCGGTATGAGAACTCCTACAACAGTAGTAATTTTATTATTTCGTGAGTCTTCAGGTAACCTTGAAGGCGCCTACTAAAGAAGCTGTTAAGCGCGACTCTAAGTTCATCGTGAGTGATTTCCAGTCTATCTATCTGCTCTGTTCTATTTGCGAGCTGTATGCCTTAAATATGCTATTATAGCGGCATGTGATGGTTGATGCAGTTAGGGCCAAACTGAAGCGTGGAGGCAAAGTGGTAGCTGCGAGGAAAAAGGTCTCTGCAGAACGGCGAGCCCTAGAAAAGAAAAACGGAAAGGCACACGTCAGTAAGCACCGATCGCCAGAAGGTCAACCACCAAAGAAGCTAGTGGGCATAGAAACTAGCGGTCAAGATGAATCAGAATTAGAAACAATCACTTTCAATAGCCTCTTAGAGGTACGTTCTTTCTCGTCACATCTGCTTTTTGAAATAATTTCTTGCTTTTTTATAGAAAAAGATTAAAGAAGTTAGATAAACGCAACCCTTTTGTGTTGCAGATAATATTTTTTTTT